TATGAAAGTGAAATGTGTGGAAAGATTTTCACCAGTAAGGCATACCTTACTGTCCACCAGAGAAGACACACAAATGAGAAACCTTTTGAATGTAACATGTGTGGAAAGTCTTTCACCCAGAAATCAAAGCTTACTGTCCACCAGAGAACACACACAGAAGAGAAACCTTTTGAATGTAATATTTGTAGAAAGTCTTTCACCTACAAGACATATCTTACTGATCATCAGAGAACACACACAGGAGAGAAACCTTATGAATGTAATATGTGTGGAAAGTCTTTCACCAAGAAGTCAACTCTCACTGTCCATCAGAGAATACACACAGGAGAGAAACCCTATGAATGTAACATGTGTGGAAAGTCTTTCACCCAGAATTCACAACTTACTGTCCACCAGAGAACACACACTGGAAAGAAACCTTATGAATGTAACATGTGTGGAAAGTCTTTCACCAAGAAGTCACACCTTACTGACCACCAGAGAACACACACAGGAAAGAAACCTTATGAATGTAACGTGTGTGGAAAGTCTTTCACCAAGAAGTCAACCCTTACTGTCCACCAGAGAACACACGCAGAAAAGAAACCTTATGAATGTAACGTGTGTGGAAAGTCTTTCACCCAGAAGCTAAACTTTACTGTCCATGAGAGAACACACACAGGAGAGAAACCTTATGAATGTAACGTGTGTGGAAAGTCTTTCACCAAGAATTCATACCTTACTGTCCATCAGAAAACACATAGGAAAGAAACCTTATGAATGTCATATATGTGGAAAGTATTTCAGCTAAGATCTACATGTTACTGTCATCCAGAGAGCACACACAGGAGAGAAATTTTTATGAATGTAAGGTATGTGGAAAGTATTTCACCCAGAACATACACCTTTCTCTCCATCAGAGAAAACCCACCAGAGAGAAATGTTATATATGTAGCAGGCATGGAAATTCTTTCACCTGGAAGGCACAACTTAACATCCATCACAGAACACAATAAGAGAAACCTTATGAATGCAACTAGTGTGGAAAGACCTGGAGGTCACTGCTTAACACATATAAGTTGATTCACACAAATGAAATAACTTAGGATTGTACCAAATGGGAAAGTCTTTGACCTGTAAGAAAATTGAAATTGCAATACAGAACCAATACAAGATAGAGACCTTATGATATAGCAGATGTGGAGTCCTCCAACTACAAGACACAGCTAAGGGTTCATCATAAAACACACAAAACACAGAGACACACAGACACACACACACCCTCACACAGAAAGAGGAGAGAAATCCTATTTAGGAAAAATCAATGGAAAGGTTTTCAAGAAAAAGTCCTAACTCAGTTTGCGTCAGAGAACAGACACAGGCAAGAATATACAAATGTAACAATTGTGGAAAGTCCTTTACCAAGTATTCATGGATCCAAGTTGGTAGGACACACACAGCGGAGTAATCTTAAAAATATTGCAAATGTGAATAAGGGAAACCATGGGACCTATTATTTGCAATACCTAGTATATGTATGAGTCAAGCAGAAAAGGTCAGATAATGTTGTGTTAGGAAATGAGCCTTTAGATATGTATTTAAATGTTTTTTTCTTTCATGCATTTCTTTTTAACACATTTATAAGATTATTTCTTTGTTGCTTTGTATGTCCCTCCCCCACAGTATAATCCCTGCTTTCACTATATTTGATGTTGGTATAATTTGTGGAGGAGAAGGG